TACTAGGTGGCTACTTTCAGCAGCCACCACCACCAACACCTCCGTCTGATGATCAGGATCCCGCATTTCTGTAGTTTCAGTTTCTATTTTCTGTAGATTGCTTTCTTTTTCTGTATTGTGTTTTTAGTTGCTTTAGTTTTTGTTTTTAGTTTCCTCCTCTTTTTTGAGATGTCAAAAGAGGGAGTAGTAGTATGTTTGTACTTGTTCTTGTTCTTGAAGAATGTTTGTACTTGTTCTGTTCGAAAGCTTGTTTAGTTTTTTAGAATTGATTATCGATATGTTTGTCATCATCAAAATCATAATCCAAAAACAGGTTTTTAACACTCATGTCTGTGTCGTATCTTGTGAGTGTTGATATTTCCATGTCTGCACCATAGCCCATAATATGCTCATCAGACATGATTATGCATATGTAATTCCCATAAAGCTAACAACTAGATGTGAAACCAACAATAGAGTTGTAGCTTTATACCAATTGGCAATTTTCATGCAACAAAAAAATGAGTGGTGAGAGTTGGGTATCTTAAATTTTTAGTTTGTTTAAAAATAAAATTTTAAAATTATTTAATATTATTATTCACAATAAAGTAAAATAATAAAAGAACACCAAATAATTAATTAGAGACAGATTTTTATGTGGTTTGACTCGCAAGTCTAAATCTACGCCTAAGTGCCATTCGTCACCTAGGACTCTTACAGAAGCCTATAAACATTCCTTAACTTCATGCAAGCAGAGGTCTTCACAAATCTCTTCCTTCATAAATATCATACCCTGCACTTTAGTTGTGGGCAAATACATCGCCTCTGTCATTCAATATAAAAACCACTCAAAAAAAATATAAATTATCACAAAACAAAATAACATATATGTAAAACAACCTTCGATGCAAATATGTTGATGCATAAAGAGTAAAGAGTATAAAACAAAATTTGAATATTACTAGCAAGTTTTCTCTTCCGAAATTTCTTTAAAATGACGGAAACTATTTTGCAAGTTGAGAACTTAGGGATTTTTGGTGGCTAGGGTTTTCGATAGAGCTCAAAAGTGACATGGGTTAGCCCTTAAAGCATATATTTATAGGAATAACCAATATTTTGAATTTGGATTAGAAAAAACGATATTTTGAAATCTAAAAAAATTTATGAAATTTCATATTTAAAATAATCTTTTTCCAACAATAATTATAGATTAAAACATGATGAATCCATAAAATTAAAAATTTATATAAATAGATTTGTCGGTACCCAATAAACTTTGTGGAGGCTCCAAAAAGATTTGCAATGACCTATAGAGGTTTACAAGAACTCTGTATCATTACAAAGTAGGCATAATGATTTGCAGTAACCTGTTAATGTTGGCGAAGACTCGTAAACTTTAACCGAGGCCTGTTTTGTAAACACAAACAAAATTATATTTTTTTCATAACTACGCTATCAAATATTTTTTCAAAATCCATTTAGTTAATATTAACAATAGTGAAATTGAATTTTATAAAATCATTTTGTTTATTTTTTAGAAAAAAAAAATCATATAATAGATGCTAATAGTTTTTATTTTATTTTATTAACTTTCTTTTGCTTGCTAACACTTCTCAATCTCTAGTTTATGTTTCCCTTAGATATGAAGAGTAAGAAAAGATTTTCCTAATCTAAGGATCAATTCATAAGCTTTGAGTGGGTCCAAACGGCTATTAACTATTTACATGCATAATACTAAATAAACCATTAGATCAACTCTTTAGTACATTTGCCATCATTAAATTTTAATATTTACTGTGGGATCATGAGTTTAAAATTATGAATTCACATTTATCATTCCATCTTGTTGAGCATTGCATGAGGTGTTTAACCTATTATTTGTAATTTGTTGAGCATTGCATAGGCTAAGGCAGCTCATGTTGATAATAACAATGGCATATACATCTATAAAGGCACATCAGACAAAAAATTATTACAACATTTTTTTTATTATTATTATAGATCAATTATCGAGTAATTATTACAACATTATTACAACATTAGGAACACAAAATATGACTGATAAAAATTTTGAATAGATTGCTTATGAAAATAATATTTGACAAACAGTTGTCAGGAAAATGGGTTTCATGCTTATAACAGATGCTGAGCACAATCAAATTTGATAATGAAGTTAAACTTCAACATAAGCCAATTATTTTTTTATATTACATCTTAGATATGAAGCAATTTTTTACAAACATGACATGAACTGTGCATGAATAGTTTCCTTTGCAAGTTCTGCATTATTTTTATCTGAACAATCATGCACACCCATAAAAAAATTGAACAAACCCAAATATATGATCTATTACAATTTTTCATGGTTTGTACACAGATCATGCTTTTAAGCATACTTGCGGTTCTGAAATATTATGGATAGTCCTCTTGATGCAGACATCCGACGGTGGACGTTAATCAAAGGAAGAGACGAATATCGACGGCCGAGAACCCTCCATTTTATCTTAGTTTATTAATTGTATTTTTTGAGTTAATTATGCATTTTTCGTTTTTACCCTTACTTAAGGGTCTTGTCTTATGTAATCCCAATGGGCAAAGTTATCTTTTAGTTTGTTTTAAGGCCTATATATAAATGTCCTTGCTCTTGTATTAGACAATGATGGATTAATAAAAAAATTGTTTCTGCACTCTGTTCTTGAGAGCTATGGGAGTTCTTAAGAGAGTGGATGTCCCTATGTGAGGGCAATGAAATACCCACCAACCTCAGGATGTGTGCGGGCTCGTGGTTGAAGTCCCTAGGTGAGGACATCAGATCACCCGTCAACCGCAGGATGTGTCCGGACTCACGGTTTATCTTCTTTCCCTATCTTCTTCCCTCTCTCTTTTCTCCCCTTATTCCAACTCTCGGCCACCACCTTCCCCTTCTCTCTACCGTCGGCTCCAATCCCCTCTCCACTACAAGTTTTCGTTTCTCCTCCCCACACCCCCACCCCAATCGCCGATTAGCTCAGCCTTGAAGCCCACCGCCACCTAAAGTTAACCTAGATCATAGCCGCCTGCCTCCCCTAGCCTTGTTTCCAAAATTTTCCCTAGCCCTTACTCCTTTCCTAATATAGTTGGTATTAGATTTGGAAGGATTATTAATCCAAGTTTTAAATCAAATTTAATTTTGAAATCTTTCCTAATTTAATATAAGTTATATTTAGAAAGTTTTCAATTCTTCAATCAATCTCCTATTATAATTAAATTAAAAATATAGCGTTAAATCACATCTTTAATTTAATTGGTTCTATTTAGGAAACTACTTTGAATTATTTTCCCACCCACTCTTTCCTTGAAACCACTGACCCCCCTCTTCATGCACAAGTTTGAATTTTCAAATTCAAAATAGCTTCTTCATTACATTCCTAAATTAATCTTTTGTTAATTTGACTAATTTGAATCCAAATTAAATTGAATTTCAAATCCCACTCCTAATCAATAGATCTAATTTAAGAAGCCCCTTCAATCCCTCTAAATCTGAAATTAATTTCAGATTTAATTACCCCATCACATTTAATGCTATGGTCCACATACATCGAATGTGGACATCTTTCCTCCCTCCTCCTTTGAAATTAAATTAAAAATATATCGTTAAATCACATCTTTAATTTAATTGGTTCTATTTAGGAAACCCCTTTGAATTATTTTTCCACCCACTCTTTCCTTGAAACCACCGACCCCCCTCTTCATGCACAAGTTTGAATTTTCAAATTCAAAATAGCTTCTTCATTACATTCCTAAAGTAATCTTTTGTTAAGTTGGAAAGTTTCTAATTTGAATCCAAATTAAATTGAATTTCAAATCCCACTCCTAATCAATAGATCTAATTAAGGAAGCCACTTCAATCCCTCTAAATCTAAAATTAATTTCAGATTTAATTATCCCATCACATTTAATGTTATGGTCCACATACATCGAATGTGGACATCTTTTCTCCCTACTCCTTTGCCCCTCCCTCCCCTCCCCTTTATCCTAATGATTTTATTCCCAATTAAAGGACCCAATTAAGGAGATAATTAATTCCTCTCTTCCCTCCTTTTTCTTGTTTGAATTTCAAATTCAAATCCATTAATTAAGGGAAATCTGATATGGAATATTAGATCTTTAATTTTTATTACACCCCCACACCCACCCCCAACCTCCGTTCTACATCACCTTTCATTTCATATAAACTAAACTATGTAAACTTATATGATCCTATTCTGAAAGAGAAAATTGAGCACTTCGAATGACAAATCATTACTATATTTTAGGAATAAAGTCATAAAATCAGACCCCATTTATGCCTCATGGATGCTCTTCATCTAAAAGTAAAAAAGCGGTATAGAAGACCGCGCGATCGTTAAAGTTTCATTACTATCCAACTACTGATGTAATTTGCCTTCTAGCATAGCACACACCGCAAAATAATGGGCATGCCTATTAACAAAGACTTCAGGTTAAACTACATTGAACATGATTAGCTCTATGCAACAAACTAATAAGAATCATAACGATTACCCGCAAAATAACCAGCTCATGAATGCAATGAAAGTTTAATTGGCCCCCCAAAATATTAGGCATGAACTCTTGAGCTGTTTTCCATAAGACTAATAAAAGAGCAATGAAAACCTCCATAGATAAGATGAAGACATAACAGCAGAACGATGAATGTCCAAGAAACAGTCAATATTGATAAGGTAACGATATTCAAATTAGCACCATATTCCCTCTTCAAGTGAAAGCACAGAAGGGTTCAAAGATATTAGCGTAGAAAAAATATAGTTGGGTGCAAAAAAAAATCAATTTTTTTTTGGACATTTAGATCAATTAAGGCAAACTCACACACACATCGCATACACAAAAACTAGAACTCAAGACCTCTTAGTTGATAGCCTAAGCTCTCAACCAACATGCCAAGTTGAGCTGTGAAAAAAAAAAAAAACATTTTTCAATCAAAATAATCATGCTGAAAGAAAAAACAACAGAAAAAGAATTACTTGCTCGACAGTTGCTCTGTCAGCTTTCTCCGTGTTCTTTGTCCTCCCTATGGCTGACTCCCGCACTGTGTCCCGTATAGCAGTTGTCACCGAATTAGACATGCCCACATTCAGCCTGCCCTCCCATTCCTGACTCAATCTCAAACCATAAATAAACACCGAAAAGGAAAGCAAAAAGTAAAACGTGAGCACAAGAAGCTTAAATCATTAATTGAAATGTTGCATCAACGATGAGGATAACAAGTTAGTTTATAAAGTTTAAAACAGAGAAAGAGAGTCTACTAATGTCACGAATAAATCCCTAATCGATGCGAAAGCTACATTACTGATATGAAGCAAAACATCCAGATGTACCTCCAAAGGGTTAGCTCGGATGTGGGAGGCGAACTTTTGACTGCGATTGGAGAGAGGTTGCAGCGGGCGAGAAAGAAGGCCACCTCGAGCATTAGGGCGCCGCGCCGCTGAGATGGAGAACGATGCAACCGCAACACCGTCGCCATCGGTGCCCTCTTTCGAATCCAACCAATCCAATGCATCGCCCACGTCCGATTCCGACGACCAGGAATCGTCATCCTCGTCATACTCCTCGTCTTCTTCATATTTTCCAAGATCTTCACCTTCCGCGCCTACTGCTGCCAGAGTGGGCTCCTCAAGCGCCATGGATCTCGATCAGCGGGTGTAGGAGCTGTTTGGATGCAGGATTTGAGCAGAATTTAGCTTGAATCCTGCCAAAGAGCAAAAATGGCAAATTTAAACCCTGTTCATTCTCGGCTTCTTCAATCCCGGATTAGTAAATCAGATAGTTAGGCGGACTTACGGGATTTAGGAGAAGAACGCGTCAATAGGAGAAAAATCAATACATCCGCGGCGAGCTCCCGTCGCCGATGCCGTCGAAGGAGAAGACAAAGAAGCTTAGGGGCAGTTTGGATGCAGGATTTAGACCGGATTTGAGCTAAATCCAGCCAAACGGCCAAAAATGCAAAACCAAATCTCACGGTAAATCAAAGCTGCGATGACGGAAAATTCCCTCTTTTCGTGGTAAATCCCGGATTTACGAAATCCTTTGGTTCGGCGGATTTACGGGATTTGGCCGAAGAAGCGCGCGAAAGGGAGAAAGTTACCTTCACAGCAAGCGAGCTCCCGTTGTTGCTTCCGATAAAAAAATGTCGTAACTTCCAACAGGAAGCGGAAAAGGTCGTCGAAGGAGCGAAGTCGAACAGCGACGAACAAGAACCCGGGCAAAACTTTACACTCCTGCGCAGGAACGAAGCCGAAAGAAACCTAGGGCTGTTTGGCAACTAAGTGGGATTTAATTTTAGTGGGATTACACAACTCTTTTTGGCCTATTGGTTGAAAGCTTATACTTCCAACTACGAGGTCCAAAGTTCGAGTCCATGTGTATGCGACCTAGGTGTGTTTGGCAACAAGTGGGATTTAATTTTAGTGGGATTTAGTAAATTCTGTAAATTCGAATTTAGTAAATTTTAAATGTGTTAAATTCTAAAAATTATTTGGTATGTCAAATGTTAAATCATGTTAAATCAGAAGAAATTGTTTGGTAACATATTTTAGGATTTATAGCAGTTAGACATTTAAATATGAAGAAGATAATTATAACTTAAAAATAAATTTATAATTAAAAATAAAAAATATAATATGTTATTATTTGGTATGTCAAATGTTAAATCATGTTAAATCAGAAGAAATTGTTTGGTAACATATTTTAGGATTTATAGCAGTTAGACATTTAAATGTGAAGAAGATAATTATAACTTAAAAATAAATTTATAATTAAAAATAAAAAATATAATGTGTTATAAATTTAATAATATGTTAAGTACAAAATACTCATTAATTATTATTTACACAATTAG